AGATCAATCCCAGATTGCTTCATGAAACACACTTGCACCCCGAGGTGCCACTGCCTCTTTCCCCACTGATGCCCCATTATGGGAAAGGAGCTCGAGCAACCCTTCCCCCCATCACCTTCCCCACCACCACACAGGATTTTATTATTCCCCGTCATGCCTCCCTCAGTCATCTCTTCCCCCAGACGGAAGAGAGCCAGTTTATGTAATTGTTCCTTCTATGGAAACAGCTTTATACCTTTAATTATTCCTGCCACCCCTCCCTGCACTTTCCCGGCGTGTCTTTAAAAGGGTGCGGATGTGCCGGCAGGCAGACAGGCTCTGAAGGAGGAGCAAGTTTTGGTTAGGACACCCACTGCGCCCCAGGAGGGCGGCCATGGTCTGCCCTGACCCCGCTTCTGACCAGCTTTCAGCAGCAGAGGGGCCGCATCCAGCCCCTGGACCAAAGCCCTTGTTTGTGCCCAGGGAAGGCTGCAGATCAAGCAGATCGTTTGTGAGCACAAGGACAGCCAGCGCCAGCTCCACCCCCACCCCGGGCCCCAGGGCCTCCAATGCCCCCGGCGATGAAAGGCCGATGAAAGGGAACAAAAAGTGTTTGCAAGCCCAGGGCACCAGGATGGCGTGGGACGAGCGGCACGAGCCACGAACCCAGAAATGACTCCAGAACACCCCATTCAAACACCTCCTCAGCAAGGGGAAGCCGTGCAGCGGTTACAAAAGCACCCTCTAATCACGACAAATGGCACATTGACAGCCGCAACCATTCATATCATGGCTCAGCTTCACCCCTGAGCTGCAGGATCTGCTTCCCACCTCGTTTCGGGGACAGGTCTGCAGGCAGGATGTGGTCCCGAGAGGGGATCATTGCTCGGCACCAACGTGGTACCTCGATGGGGGCCATAAGGCAAGCTTGTTTCTCAAGATGGGCAGGTTTCCTAGGACAAAATCCAGGACACTGGGTCCAGGCAGATCCTCTGACCAGCTGCCAACTCACTCCAGATCTAACCCTGACAGGGATGCTGGAAAGATCAAGGAGGAAGACTCACACAGCAGAAGTCCAAACACACTGCACCCCCTGGAAGGGGACGCGTGATGGGGTTTTGAAGAGCAACAGCGCTAGGAGCACGCTTAGCTCAGCTTTGCAGATTGCCTACTAGCTGGCCATGGCTGCTGCAGAGCCCAGGATGTAAGCGGATCAGGAGCTGTTTTAAACACAGCCCCTGAGCCTCGCACAGGACCTGGGCCAGTGGGTTTTTTCCTGATGAAAAAGCATATCCCGAGATGACCCCTCCTAACCTCAGGCACCTCAGCCGACCCCCAGAAAGGGAAGCCTCTGCTGCAGAAGGACTGTGGACCTCATTACATCAGGTGCTTGCTCCGGGTACAGGAAGAAAACACTGACCATCACTCCCATCAGACACCCTCAGACCACCCCACACAGCACCTCCAGGGACCCACTCTTCCTTCCATCCCAGTCAGCCCCATGCGAAGCAGGGTGCCACCTTGGCACAGGCTCTCAGGAGGTCCATGCTGCCCTGCAACCCCACCGGTGCAGTCCAGCTGCAGGAGCCCACCTCGCACCAGGGCAGGGGACAGCTTCAGTGGCCCCCTCCCTTCCTGCAGCCCTTCACCCTCCAGCCCAGTCCCTCCAGCCAACCTTCTCCCAATTTCCCACCCTGGCCTGGTTCTTCCCAGCCCCACAGCCTCTCTCAGCCCCAAGACTGCCCTGCCTCCCCTCAGAGCTGCCAGCCCTGAGCCTGCCCAGGAGCAGCCTGGACTTCCAGGCTCCATGCAGTGCTTGCCCCAGTCAGCCCCAGGCTCTGCACACACGGCTGCGGGGCCCCACAGCCCCATGCCAGGCTTACGGGACCCCTGTGAGACCCCCAGGCCCCACACCAGGCCCCACAGCAGGCTCACAGAACCCATGTGAGGTCCACAGGACCCACAGCAGCACCCAGGCCAAGCCCACAGGACACACAGCAGGCCTCACTCTAGGCTCACAGGACCCACGCCAGGTCCACAGGCCCCACACGCCAGGCCCAGGCCCACTAGACCCCCACACACCAGGCCCTCGGGCCCCCACACGCCAGGCCCACTGGACCCCCACACACCAGGCCCAGGCCCACTAGATCCCCACATGCCAGGCCCACTGGAGCCCAAACGCCAGGCCCAGGCCCACTAGACCCCCACATGCCAGGCCCAGGCCCAGGCCCACTGGACCCCCACACGCCAGACCCAGGCCCACTGGACCCCCACACGCCAGACCCTTGGGCCCCCACACGCCAGACCCACTGGGCCCCCACACGCCAGGCCAAACCCACAAGCCCGTAGTGCCCCCCTGCAGGCCCACGGGACCCACGGCAGACCCGGCCGTGACCCGCCGTGCCCCCACCCGCGCAGGCACCCCGCTGACGTCACACCCTTCCAGAAGATTCCCCCCTCCCCCCGGGGATCCCGCCGCCAGCAAACTTGCCCCCGGCCAATGAGAGCGCCCTGAGGGGGCGGTGCCGGCTTGAATTGACCAATAGAAAGAAGGAACCGGCAAGGCCTCCGCCCGCCCTGCCTACCCCGCCCCTTTCGGGAGAAACCAATGAGAGCGGTCTATCGCGGCGACGGACAGTCCGCCGGCCCAACGGGGCGGGGCGCGCGCGGGCGGGACTCCCCTGACGTGGCGGCCGGGGGGCGGGGGCGGGGGCGGCTCAGCGAGCGCGCGACGCCCCGGGACAGCGCGAGCGGTGAGTGCCGGGGGCGGCGATGGCGGCCCGGCCCCACCGCGCTGCCCCACACACCCCGCCCCACACACCCCGCCGAGCCGCTGCCGAAGGAGGGCCGGTGGGCACGGGGGCGAGGGCTCCCCGCCCCCTGCGCTGACAGGGCGCCGCTGTGGGGCGGGGGGGGTCGTTCCCTCCGCCCCGTGGGGTGACAGGGTGCTGCTGTGGGGCTGGGGGGGATCAGTACCCCTGCCCTGTGACCTGACAGGGTATTGCTGTGGGGCTGGGGAGTCAGTCCTCCTGCCCCGTGGGGTGACAGGGCATCGCTGTGGGGCTGGGGGGGTCAGTCCCTCTCCCCCGTGGGGTGACAGGGCATCGCTGTGGGGCTGGGGGTGGTCAGTCCCCCTGCCCTGTGACCTGACAGGGTGTTGCTGTGGGGCTGGGGGGTCAGTCCCTCAGCCCCATGGGGTGACAGGGTGTTGCTGTGGGTCTGGGGGGTCAGTCCCTCTGCCCCGTGGGGTGACAGGGCATCGCTGTGGGGCTGGGGGGGTCAGTCCCTCTCCCCCGTGGGGTGACAGGGCATCGCTGTGGGGCTGGGGAGGGCTGTCAGTCCCTCTGACCCATGGGATGACAGGGTGTTGCTGGGGGGAGGGTTGTCGGTCCCCCTGCCCCATGCGGTGACAGGGTATGGCTATGGGGCCAGAGGGGAATCAGTCCGCCTGCCCTATGGGGTGGCACAGTGTCGCTGTGGGGCTGGGGCATCAGTCCCTCTGCCCCATGTAGTCACAGGGTGTCTCTGTGGGGCGAAGGGTTTCAGTCCCCATGCCTCATGGGGTGCCAGGGTGTCACTATAGGCTGGTAGAGTCACTATATATGACACGGTGTTGCTGTGGGGCTGGGAGGGTCAGTCCCCCTGCCCCATGGAGTGAGATGGGGCATCGCTGTGGGGATAGGGGGTCAGTCCCTCTGCCACATGGAGTGACAGGGTGTGTCTATGTGGCTGGGGGGTGTCAGTTTCTCTGCCTTATGGAGTAACAGCGTGTTGCTGTGGGTCAGGGGCATCAGTCCCCCCACCCCACAGGGTGACAGGGCATTGCTGTTGGGCAGGGGATCGGTCCCTCTGCCACATGGAGTGACATGGTGTCGCTGTGTGGCTGGAGAGGAGTCAGTCCCCCTGCCCCATGGGGTGACAGGGTGTCGCTATGGGGCTGAGGAGTCAAGGGGATCAGTCTCCCTGCCATTTGGGGTGACAGGTTGTTGCTTTAGAGCCTGGGAGGGTTAGTTCCTTTGGCACTTGTAGTGACAGGGTGTCACTATGGGGCTAAGGGGTCAGTCCCCTCGCACTGGCAGGGTGTTGCTATAGGGCTGGGGGGATCATTCTCCTTGTCCCTGGGGTGACAGAGGGTCACTATGGGGCTGGGGGGTCCTTCCCTTAGCCATATGGTGTGACAGGATGTTTCTGTGGGGCTGGGAAGAGGAGGTTAGCCTCGCTGCCCCTTTGTGAGTGGCCCCATTGCCCCCCAGGGGTGTGAAGGTGAGGGAGGAAGGGATTAACACCTCTGCCCGGGTGGATTGACAGGGTTCCCTGCTGAGGCTGTGGGTCAGGGTTAACTGCTCTGCCCTACCTAGTGACAGTGTGTCCCCGAGGGTATGAACGGGGTGGGAGGAAAGGGTTAATCACCCTGCCCCTTAACAGTAACACTACATCTAAGTGGGGCTGGGAGGAAGGGGTTAATCCTACCCTCCTCTATGGGGCTGTAGTACCCCCTGTGGGGTGGAGAGGTCGGTGAGGTGAGGGTTAACCCCTCTTTCCCTTCCCACTTTCGAGTGAACAATGAGCCCTGTTGGAGTTGTGTGGTGTGGTCAAGAAGGGGTTAAAAGGTAACCCCCCCCTCGCCTCCCCCCTCCATCCCCATGTTGGGGGTACGAGTATATCCCAGTGGGGCTGAACTGGCTGGTGAGGAAGTGGGTAGAGCCCCCCCCCGCCCCAGGTGACAGTAATGAGGTTGGAGGGGGTAGCAAGGAAGGGGTTAAGTCTTGTCCCCAAACGGGGTGACAGTGTGCCCCAGGGGAGCTGGGGAGGAAAGGGTTAACCGGCTTTCCCGTTGGGGCAGGCAGTGGGTCCCAGTGAGGGGTCACCCCAGGCAGGGGACAGCACCCCAGTGGGGCTGGAAAGGGGGGGGACCCTACATGGGAAGGTGCTTGTGGGGGGTGGCTTGACCCTGTCCCCACGCAGGACCCAATGGCGGGTGGGGCTGGAAGTGGTGACCCCCTCTATGGGGGGGGGGATGATTCATTGCGGGTAGTCATGACATTGCTGCCTGGTTGCCTGCGGCTGCCAGCCGGCACGGGCACGGGTGGCTCTGCCACGGGCACGGGTGGCTCTGCCTGCCCCGGGCAACGCTGAGATTCCCGCCGCCGGCTCCTTAACCGAACCCGGGACACGCTGCCATGCCGGCCATCCTGCTCTTCTGGAGCCGCGCCGAGAGGTACGCACCCCGCTACGGCTCCCATCCCCGTATCCATCCCGGGAAACATCCACCCGGACAACCCAACCCTGGCACTCAGTGCCCGCTGAGCCACCGGGACCCCCAAACCTTGGGGAGGCAGTGGGCTTGGGGGGCTGTCACCTGCCCGGCGTTCTGCTCGCCCAGGGTGGGATGCCGGGTGATGTTCCCCAATTTCTCGGCGTGGGGCATCCGGGGAGGATGCTCTCGGCAGCCCGCGAGTGACGGTGACGAGGGACTCTTTGGGGGGGACGCGGTGGCATTTTGGATTTCCTTGGCGTGCTTGAAGGTGACTTCTCAGAAGTAGGTTTTTGGAGGAGGCACCGTCCCGGTGCCCCCCAGGCTCTGGGTGAGAGCGTGGCGGTCGGAGACCTTCTGCTGGGGGACCACTGCCGGTGCCTGGGGAGGGGGGGGACGCAAAAGGAACCCCCCCCCCAGCGCATCCAAAGAGGATGTGCAAATTGGTTAATTGGTTAAATGACTTTTTTTTTTAAAAAATTTTTTTTTTGCCCCCCCCCTCTCCCACATCACCGCTGCCGCCCTACTTTTCTCCCTCCCCGATTCGCCTGGCGGGTGCAGAGCCCTGGGCGTCAGCGGAGCTGGTTTTCGGGGACGTTTTTTCATTTTTTTGGGGGGCTCCTGGCTGCGCTCCCTGCTCCTCGGCGGGGGCTGCGCGGGGGACGTGACGGTGACGGGGCGGCCGGGCGCCTTGCGGCAAGCGGGGAGGGAGGATGCTTGGAGCTGACGGCAGAAGTGTCTTAATCCGGCGGTTTAGCATCGGGGAAACCAATTAAAAGGAAAATTACGGCTCGGCAAGCGACTCCATTGAAGGGTCCCCCCCTCCCCGTGCGCGCACAAAGGACGGCAGCTCCCCGGCTCGCCTGCACCCACGCCGGCTCGCCCGCCACCGAAACCCTTTCGGAGCCGTCCCGGCAGCGGAGGTCAGAGGCAACCGTGGCTACCGGGTTGGCGAGGAGCCACCTTGTCGGTGGCCCCGAGGAGCTGGAGCGGGAGGCTCGCCACCCCAGCATCCCTTGGCGGCGGCGGGGGCAGCATCCCCGGCAGGAGCCTGCATCTTCTTCTTCTCCGCCGACCCCCTGCCAGCCCCCGCTGCCTCCCGGCCGGGCGCAGAGCAGCTGCCGGCGGCGCCTGCGGACAGCCGCGATGTTTAAAATAAAGCTCGAGCCTTTAAAAATGACGGCTTGGACTCTGAATGTGTTCGTAAAGTTTCGGTAAGTGAGCGGGTTTACCGCCTCTCCACCTCGCGCCCCGGTTACACCGCCGGCAACCGGGGCCCGTCCTGCCGTGACCTTGCCCCCCCCTCCCTTTCCCAGATCCTTGGAGATGGGGGGAAAAAAAAAAAAAGAAAAGAAGCCCAAACCAAACCCAAGCCGGGGCAGGTTTGTTCCCTTAGATGACTGCCGAGCGAGCGGAGGGATTATGTCAAACGATCGCTATTCAGCTGGCGCGCTCATCCAGTGGTTTCACGGGCTGATGTCATGTGCGGGGCCGGAACAAAGATTTCATTTTTTATTTAATTTTTTTTTTTTTCTCTCTCTCTTTTTTTTTTTTTTTTCCCCCTTTTCTTTTGTGGTTGCAAGAGGAGGATGGAGGCTGAGCTGGCTCAGCTGGGCTGGCAGTGGTGGTTGGGGGGGGGGAGGATGCTTGTGGTTTTCTCCAAGGCTGAGTGGCTTGTCCGAAGGTGTCCGGTTTAAGAGGGTGACGCAGGAATGGCCTTGCCCACCCCCCC